TGCTGTGGGTGAAAAGGCCAGTGTTTCAGAAGCATTTTAATTTCTGATAGGTCTGTCTGGGCTTTATTGTTTATTTGAGCCAGACTCAAGCTCAATATCCCATCTCATGTATTCTTTAGCATTTCAAATCTTTGTTTGTTTTTACACTGGCTGAAATGGCCCTTTTTGGTAGAAAGAAGTTAGCAAACAATAGTTCTACTTGCTGTGGGTGAAAAGGCCAGTGTTTCAGAAGCATTTTAATTGCTGATAGGTCTGTCTGGGCTTTATTGTTTATTTGAGCCAGACTCAAGCTCAATATCCCATCTCATGTATTGTTTTAAATATGTAAACAACAACATCAAAATGGAATCAGCCACGTCCTGGTCTGGTATCTCAGTTGGTTAGAGCATCATCCTGATATGCCAAGGTTGTAGGTTTGGGCACATGCAGGAATCAACCAATGAATGCATAAATGAATGGACAAATCAATGTTTCTCTCTCTCTCTCTCTCTTCCTCTTTCTAAAATCAATTAAAAAGATGAAATCAGCCATTTATAAATGAAATTGTCAAGGTATTAAGTTATGAAATTTAGAAAGTTCATGGCTTAAAAATTATTGAAGGCATTTTTATGAGGTCTGATATATTTCACAAAATAACTTAGTTATATGAAAAAGTGCACCAAAAGCATAATTTTGGTTTTGGCAACAACAACAAAAATTAAGTATATCCAGCTTAGTTTTTATGTAAAAATCAGAGAATAAAAGTTTACGTTTTACTGCTGTTGCTAGAAACTGGGACTCTGTCTTCCTTAATGGGAATGACATTCAGTATCTTAGACAAGGATAGTCTGTGAAGAAACATTGATGCATTTTCTTTTTGTTAATTCTCTCATTTTTAAATATGTTCTTGATAAACACACCGATAATTCTCATCCAAATCATTGTTTTACCATATTACTCAATTATATGAGCATTAATGAGAATGTGAAATCTTGAAAGATTACTACTTTGGAGTATTTCCAAAGTTCAGTGTTAAGATGAGTATAAGGTAGAAAGGTACCTATAGAGAAATTTATTTTTATCAAAACTAGACATGTGGATCATATCACTTTTATTTTTATTTTTTTTTAAAATATATTTTATTGATTTTTTACAGAGAGGAAGGGAGAGAGATAGTTAGAAACATCGATGGGGTGAAATATTTTGACAGGTGGTTATATATTGGTTATTTAATAGGATTGTTCCTTTCCACTTGGAAAGAATGGGATCTTCACATTCAATCACATTTTTAGGAAAATCTCCTTAGAGAATTTATCTATTGTCCTATCACGAGGCTTCCAGGGGTCTAATATAGTAATATTGTAATAACTATGTAAGGTGCCAGTTGGGCACTGAAAATATCAGGGGGAACTCTTTTTAAAGTATATGATTATCTAACCACTGTGCTGTGCACCTAATACAAAATAATTTAAATATAAACAGTTATTGACAAGTATTTTAAAAATTAAAAATATTTCTGTAAATTAAAAGTGGGTTGTTCCAACTTGGGAATATAGGGAAAAGGTCTTTGAAAATCTTCTAGGTGAATAAATAATTTCTAATACGGAGTGGCTATAAATCAATTTTCCCCAATACACTCTTAGATTTGGCTCGGTGGCTTTGTCTTTGTCGTCCACAAAGTAAGAGTATATTAATTGTCAGAATTGACTCAGTAACATTGAAGGTCACTAATTTCTCTTTCGGTGTGTTTGGTTATTAATGTAAATTTTCCTATCATTTGTATATTCCTATGTCTTGGAAGCATGGAAGCCATATATGATTTTTCGGTGTTACTTCACTTTTGAGGGTGTATGTGAGGGTCCGTATCCCCAATCCATACCCACATATATTGATAGAAATGGCGAGATAGAGGGACCCTGAAACATGAATAATATTGGCTTTATTCTTCTTTGCATCAATCTGTTGTAGTGTGTAGCTGTAGGGTATACTCAGCCACTAGAGTATAGCATGGCATTTCTATAAAAGACAGTTTTCTAGATGGAATGTCACCATATTTAATTTTTCCTATGACAAATTCACTTTCAGAAAAACATGTCCATGAACCCTTTCCCATTGCTGAGAGGTAAGAGTGAGCATTACTAAGGATAAGGAATATAATACAAGTAGCTATGGAAAAATTACAAAGGTCGGAAGCAGGGAAAAGAAAGATTACGACTGCATATTCCCCAGGGGACATGTCTCTGGATTTTTGAAAAAGGCCAAGACTGCATGATTCTAAAGAACATGATCAGGTCAAGCATCTGTGACGCACAGTAATGATTACATACACATAGACCAGGCGATTCTGGGCAACCAAGCCTTCCTGCAAAGACATCGGTCATAGATTTAACTAAACAGTCATGTTGCTGTTTGAAATAATGATTTTTCCTAAAAAATAAGTAAATAAAAAAATAATTTTTGCAATGACCACTGACTTAAATGTTCCATATGAAGGGATTATTAAATCAGAGGATTTTTGACAAAACTGAAAATTGGGAGAGCCTCTGAGTGCACCTTTTCTGACATGGTGGCAGGCAGGGAAAAAGTCACAGAAAGGTAGATACTCACCATGGCTTGTTGGCTGGGAAGCAGACACACTCTGTCCCTTAGGAAACCCACCTCTCAGTGGTTGCTCCGCCTATAGATAGCACGTTTTCTGCTTTGGGAGGAGATTAACGATGGCCTAATTAAGTGTCAAAAATGAAATATCTAACTTACAATTGTTTCCCATTCTTGTGTTATTCTTGTTGGTGAAATACCATTGGGACCACTCAACACTTGAAATCTGGTGGGTGGAAGGCAGTGAATGTGGCTAGAACTGATGAGGACATAATGCTTAAAAAGAACAGAAATACAATCCATTACCCCAAATTTGTAGGTAGATGAGAATGAAAGCCAATGAATCTACTCATAACAACATCTTTCTTTTTCTGTAAGATGAGCATGATTTTAAGCAAGTCTCTTCTACATACTCTACTCCAGTGGTTCTCAACCTTCTGGCCCTTTAAATACAGTTCCTCATGTTGTGACCCAACCATAAAATTATTTTCGTTGCTACTTCATAACTGTAATGTTGTTACTGTTATGAATCGTAATGTAAATATCTGATATGCAGGATGGTCTTAGGCGACCCCTGTGAAAGGGTCGTTCGACCGCCAAAGGGGTCGCGACCCACAGGTTGAGAACCGCTGCTCTATTCCTTTATCAATTAAAGTAGATTTTTACCAATAGCTAGAATGCCTTGACCCAGTGAAGTGATTACTACAACAATTAGGGAAGCAACTAGTTACACACTTCTGATGATCAATTTTATCGGGATGGATAGATTTGATAGAATACTCCATATGCTAAAAAATGATCTGATGTGTAACTGTTTTGGGGCTTATGTTCTCAGATGCCAAACAGATGTAGACAAAGTGGTACTAAATAATGTAAGAAAACAATTAGTGAAATGGCAAATTGTCCAACATTTATCTCAACACTAAGAGACAATATTCTGATACTGTGCTCTCTTGGGAGGCTAAAAAGGAAACACTGAATAACCAAAGAGTTGACATTTGCAAGAGTTGAATACTAGTATATCTATTTTCTTTCGTTTGGATGAGGATACCACTTGCACAATAATACCTTTTGGGTTTTTATTTCTTTAAAACATGAAAACAAAATATGAAGTAGATGACAATGAGAAGAAGGAAAACATTCCATACAGAATATGCTGTATAACTAGTGATTAAGTCAGAAACAATTAGAAACTTTATTTCTCTGTGTCAATAACGTGTACCATGTATGAGGAGCAGCACAATGAGTGTGTTTCTCCCTAAAGCTGTGCACAATACACACAAAATAAAATAATCAAACAAAATAAAATAATTTTACACAACTATAATTAATAATAAACCCTGAACAACCAGAATCATATCCCTATAACATAAAAATTTAAAAAGCAAACAAACCCAAAAGCTTTGAAATTGACCAATGGCAAGAATTTCTCAAAAGTCCTCTGTAACAATTTGCTATGGGCCTATTGACATTCCAAATATGGCTAAAAATGAGTGCAAAATCTTTCTAATGTTTAAACAACTCATGTCCCCTGATAACATTTACCTGGTGTTTCTAGGCTAGTTTTCCATTTAGTAAATCTTAAAAAAGGGGGGCGGGGCAGGGAATTAACATGTGCCCCTGAAGGAGTTAGGCCACCAGTGTGCTAGGCCATGGCAGGTTGGGGTGAGTCTCCAAAAGATAAGAATTGTAGGGGTACAGGGCATAGAAAAGTATTGTTATCAAACCAAGATACAAACTGGGATTAATTGGGCCTTCGCAGTGACGTGGAATACCAGCATGATTGCCTTTCTTGGTTTAAGATGAGATGTCCTATCTGCAAGATTGGCCAAGGACATCTAGGATGTTTTTCCTAATCTATGCTTTATCCAGGGGTCCTCAAACTTTTTAAACAGGGGGCCAGTTCACTGTCCCTCAGACCGTTGGAGGGCCGGACTATAGTTTAAAAAAAACTATGAACAAATTCCTATGCACACTGCACATATCTTACTTTGAAGTAAAAAAACAAAACGGGAACAAATACAATATTTGTATTTGCATGTGGCCCGCGGGCCGTAGTTTGAGGACCCTTGCTTTATACTCTCTACTCTCTTAATTAAAAAAACAACACTTAAGTATTTGAATAATTGTATTTGCACAGTTTCAATGTGTTATTTTAAAAGTTTCCTAATTGTGTTTTTCCTTGTAGGATAAATCTGTTTCTATGTGGCTGGGTTGACTTTTACTCATGGAAAGAGCAATCACATTAACTGTGAGCCCGCTGAGGGCAAGGATTTGGGCTGTTTTGTTCACACTTTAGTCCCCAGGTGGCAGCATAGTTCCTGGCATATTGAGTGGGTACCCAGCATTTAATTATTAATTCAGCCACCAAATCTTTATTTAAATGATGAATGATCATGATCACTGAGTGGAAAAAGAGAAAATAGCTCTCAACACTTTTTATTTCTTAAGTATCTTTGAATTAATACAGAGGGCTAGGGGTGTCTCCATTCTGAGAATCTTTATAGACAGAGAACTCTCTAAGAGGGGGCCAACATCATTCCATTTTTCCTCATTAGTGGACTCACTACTTTGGAATGTGGGTTTATCCACCACGCTCTTTGGTATTTTAAAATAGAAAGAGCCATTCCCTTTCCAGGGATTAAAAACCTCCCAGTGCAGCCCTGCTGGGAGGCACTCGTCTTCTCCTTTAACTGCTTGCCCCTCAGTCGTAAGTAGAGAAGACTCACTTGTAAAGACCCATTCATTGGTCAGCCTGACCTCTTTCCTACTCACAAAATGCAGGTACAATCAGAGGGGTCTGGATGGTGAAAGAAACAGGGCTCAAAGTAGCCTTTATAAAAAAATAAAACGAACAAACCAGCACTATCTACCATCTGTGCCAGACAGAGCAGATGTGAAATAAATACTTCAGGGACAGGGCGCTGGAAAAACGGAGGCTCTCAAAGCCCAGGCACGCCTCCTGCATCCACTTCTCCACACCTTTCTCCTTGGCCTTCCTGAATCAACAGGCGGTTTTTTAGAGGCCTCTGGTGTGCTCCACATGGCTACTATTCCATGAAGATACTTTGTGGTTTGCCTGCTGTCCTCTCCATTGCTTTAACGTCCCACGTGACAGTTATTGCTTCTTCAAAATGAATGTGCAGCTCCATGAACAATAAGCCATTTTCTCCTTGTATCCCTAGTCATAAACTCAATAACAACACAAAAGTTACAGGTGAAAAGAAAACTCACTTATGTCTTCAATGTCCGGTTAACGTTGCTGAATGGGAGAACAGTGTATGCTATGCTCTACTATATACAGATAACGCTTTGTTTTATTTGTTTTTCGTCCATGCACTGTGTAACAGGTATCACAACAACATTCCCAAACAGGCACATGAAGGAGGAGCAAATGTTCAGTCGTGACTGGAACAGGATTGTGCAAGCCATGGATGCTTTTGAAAAGAAAACCAACAGATGATCCATCCCAGGCAACAGCAACATGGGGCTGGGACACAGATTGATGCAAATGGAAAAGGATGATGTGAGTTTTGAATGGAGTTGTTCTTCCTGTTTGCAGGAGGAGGGGATGGGGGACCCGGGGAGATAGCTGGGCTGAAACACCAGAAGAAGGGCCTTGCCAATTACAATCCAGAGCTAAAGAGAGAAGCAGTAAAGGATTTTGGGTGTTTCTGGGAATCTAGGCACATTATTCTTCCTGTACCTGTTGATCAGGAGTGCCAGGCAGCATATCTTTAAATATCAGACGGCATCGGGAACCATCACTTTTTCCTGGCTCCATCCCAGCTCCCACGCTTCTTCTCAGAGGCAGCTTCACCTCTGCTCACGGTCCAGAGCTAAGCTGGGATTTAGTAACGTGAAGACGGGCTGCTTTCTTCTTCCGTGCCCGTATCCCTTCTTAATCCAAAATAACTTTTAAAGTGTTTGGGGGAAGGGAAAGTAATCCTCATGACTTAAATTTTTACCAAAATCCATTTGCATTTAGATTGGTCATCACCTCCCACAAGAGAAGCAAGAACCCTGATCTTCCCAACAAAACAAAACAAAACTAAAACAAAATAAAAGGCAGACATCAGCCACCTCCCAACCCTCCACTGAAAAGAAGGCAAAACAGAAAACAAATCAAAGACTTAAGGACTTAGGAACCTGGAGAGGACACAGCCCTCCTAGGCCGAGCTGCCCAGGTGGCCCTGCCTCCACGCCTTGTTCCATGCGACGATGCCCCTGGGAATGGGAGGTGATGGTTTCTCACTTCAGCCCTAGTAAGTATGCTCTTGAAGCTGGATTCCATCAGCAGGTAAGAGAACATGACAAGTGTCAGTTTCCTCTGTTCATTGTACGTATTGTTTATGTATATATGTATATATATATAAATTTACTACATCTGATTGTTCCTTCAGAAGCCTTTTATGTGGCAGTAGGCCTCCAGGGAGGAGAAGAAAATGTACAAGAGCCACAGGAGCACAAAGAGGGATGATGTGAGGAGCTTGGCAGTCCGGGGCCCACCCAGCTCACCTCCGATTTCTGGCCTCCGCCGATACAGCAGCACCCCCACATTGATGAAAGCAAAAATGGTGAAGAGAGTGACAGAGAAAGCTAGCGTGCCGGGGGACACTTTGAACTGTTCCCCGTTGGCCGCGTGGTAGATGGCTGCGATGGACCAGGCCACACCGATTCCTAGGAAGACATTCACCGCGTTGCTGCCAGTGACGTTACCAATGGATGCGTCTGCGTACTGGTCCTGGGTAGCTGCCACTTTGCTTGCAAAGGTGTCTGTAGAGGAAGAACAAAGAGGCAATGACACTTAGCCTTTCTAAGGTGTCTGTGGAGTGCTGGCAGCTTCAGCTGTGTACTCTGAAATCAACCCCCCGTGGAAACCCAGTGACAACAGGGCTGTGATGTTCTCTGGAGGCCCAGTGGTGTGGTCAGAACAGGATCCAGGACTCAAGGATGTAGTGCTGGCTGTTACAGGTGAGCTTGGTCAAGTTCTTTAGCACAGATGCCACAGCTCTTTGTGATACTGAACTTACAGGGCAGCATGGTCATGGCCCAGGTTCTAGGTCGCTAAAGTTTAAAAACGGCTGCTCGAGGTATTACTAAAAGATGCTGTATCGTCAGCTCCAGTTTACAGATGAGAAAGTTAAGGGGTTAGGACAGTGATGGCGAACCTATGACACGCGTGTTAGAGGTGACACGCGAACTCATTTTTTTGGTTGATTTTTCTTTGTTAAATGGCATTTAAATATAAAAAATAAATATCAAAAATATAAATCTTTGTTTTACTATGGTTTCAAATATCAAAAAATTTCTATATGTGACACGGCACCAGAGTTAAGTTAGGGTTTTTCAAAATGCTGACACGTCAAGCTCAAAAGGTTCGCCATCACTGGGTTAGGAGATATTTGCAAAAATTCAAGAGCAAGTTACTGAAACAATGAATTATAATAATAGCTGGCATTTACCCAGAGCCTTGTGAATACAGGAGCAAACTCTATTTCACTGCATTGATAGTGATAATTCTATGGGTGGAGGAAACTTTATAAGTGAGGATGCTAGGCTTAAAGATACTCAATTTCTTTTCTATTGCCTACTTACTGATATCAAAGTCCTTTCAGCTACCTTTGCAAAATACCTTGCACACACAGTAGTTTTATAGTAGATGTTAACTGGCAAGTTGAACTCAGATTTGCAAAGCCAGCCATGGCAGGTGTGATATGACCACAAGGTATTATGTCATGTGCTCTGGTCCTCTTGAGATCCCTGGCGTGCACTGAGCATGCAGGTAGTTGTATGATCTCTGGGCTACTTTCTCTCCTTGGTGGCTATTCTGTTGCCACCATCCTTCTTCAGTAAATCTCCAATGAGGACGACACATGGAGCATCTACTAGTAAGTTCATATCAGCCTGTAGATTCTTGTGCTTTCCAAAGAGTGGGAAGGTCACAGGCTGCTCTGAGGCTGCTGGGAGTGCACTGTCACAATCTCTCTAAAAGGAAACTGGTTGGCCTGTGGGCTCATCTCACTGACTCGGACCGCTGCCTGTGATAGAAAGCAAGTTCCACTTGCTATTTTGCAAAGAAGCAAATACTCTGTGCTATATGCATGTTATATGTTTATTCTCTTCCAACCCTCCTAGTCTTTGGAGTGGATGCTATTCCTTATTTATATTTTGGGAAATGCCATTGAACTGGATGTTGGTCAACAGAACAAGGGTTTTTAAGCCAAATCTGTTTGATTTCAGAGCCCAGTCTCTCCACGCCACACGCCCCTCCGGGGAGACTAAATTCTTCCTCTTCTCTTGGTCCCTTTCACGGACGAACTTTGAAACAGGTTCTCACAAAACGCCCTCTCCTCTGCCAGGGAACTAGACTGAAGAAGGTGTGTGCTGCTTCGTGCATTCAGATCCCACACAGCAGCCCCACCAGGACTACTGTGGAGGCCGGTGAGTGAAAGCCAAGCAAGACTAACCTTCAGGCCCTCCTGCACTCACTGTGAAGAGTTATCAGAACTGCTTCAGGTGAAGTTGTTCTGATTTCTTTCCTTTTCCAAGGACAGGCAGATGAGCAAGGGAAGTAAAGGAACAGAGGCCAAGGCAGGAGAAAGCAGCTTACAGCTCAGCCACTGTGAGGCCACCTGAGATGTTTATTCTGTGCTGACATGGCTGCTGCACCAGCTGGTGGCAAACAGATGGCACCTTAGGCTGGCTGACGGTGGGGGCATTCCCTCCCCATGCTGCAGGGACAGGTGACCTGGCACTTCCACAGCACACACCTGCTTAGGCCCGTGGTGCATGGCACACTGGACTTTCTGGTGTCACAGTGCCAGAAGGGCATGAGGAATAAAATCAAAGGTTCCTGGGTCCTCTAAGCACCCACACCAGTCATTTTGCCTGCAATGGAGGATCCACTTGGGCCTATAGGGGTTTCCTCTCCCTCAAGCCATTTTTCAATAGCTTATTGTGAACATCACATGAGAATTCTTGTGATAATATTTTCCTGCTCGCAAATGCCTTTCTCTGGATTCCCTAAAATATCAGTAGCCAAAGTGACTACCTTGAAACATACATAAAACACATTTGGGGCCTCTTTGAGTCTGGCTGGTTTTATTTTATTTACCTATGTTTTACATCAGGCCTTTTATCTATTTTCAGTTCAAAAGTCATGTAAAAAAATTATAGAAACACATGCCAATGCAAACCATTAACTTTAGCTCCACAAGAGACAACTCTGTTTTCCAAATGAAGCGTGATGGAATCTCCCCAAATTACCTCCTATCCCTGCTTAGTGCATAGAGGAACCCATCACACACCATATGCTGGGCACTGCCAAGTCCTACCCTGAATGCTAAGCCCATACCTGCTTATGGCTGAACAAGGCAAACACCATTCAGATACCCCTACCCTGAATGCTAAGCCCATACCTGCTTATGCTGCTTATGGCTGAACAAGGCAAACACCATTCAGATACCAATCCCCAAAGTAAAACCTGAGACATAACTGCTGCCATGGTCTCAGAGGGGTTGTGATCATATTCAGAATTAGGCCTATTAAATACAAACATGTATGAATCAGATTTCCACTGTGATTGGCACAAACTAAGTCGTGTGTGTGTGTGTGTGTGTGTGTATGTATCCCCAAAAATGTATGCACACACTTCGAATAATTTTAAAGGCAGTGTTATTTGAAAATGAAATGTATTTTAATTGAGCTATCAGCTATTAGTGTATACATTTTTTGCAAGTATGCTTCAGGCCAGATTTCTAATAGGAATTTTTGCTTTTAACTGAATTCTAATCAATTTTAGATTAGTTGTACAGTCCTGCCTCCTTGGTACCCATGACTGTAAATCAATAGCAGGGAAGATATGTTTGGGAGGCAGTATGGTTGGGATTAAACAACACATCACATCACAGAGTCAGGACAGAACTGTTCTCTGTAGACCTGTCTCAAGTTCACTACAATCTTGGCCAAGTCATCTGGTTGGTATGCAGAACTAGGTCAACACGCTTCCTTTTCCTCCAGAAATTGTTTTTTTTTACCTTAATTTCTCAAACTCTCTAGCTACATATAGACAAAGCCTTAAACACCTTACAGTCCTGCAGGTGACACATTTATGGATTGGGTTTCACCCCAGATGATTTATCTTATTCTTGACTCTTAGTGGGGCCAGCTGTTAATTCTCAAGTTATTTGTGCTCAGGAACAGACATGGACTGATTTTACCTGATGGAGGCATGCTTGCCTCCCCCAGCATCAGTGATTACCCTCAACATGAGAGATGGAGTAGAGGATACAGAGCTTCATGGTGCAGTAGTGAGAAGACTCATCAAGGAGACACTCTCAACTCTTCTAACTACGGTATTTGTATGTTCTTGGGCAAGACACTTCACTTGTTTAGGTTCTGGTTTCCACATCTGGTATTTAGACTAGAACATCTGTAAGACTTTCCATAACTTTACTGTTTGGGCGCTGCACAGGATACGGAAAAAGACTCGATTCACAAGTATGATTTTGGCGTGATTTTTCTTTTGGGGTGGGAGTTTGTTCATGACCACCTTGCTTCATGAGAATGGACTAATGCTAATAAATATCTTCTCCTTTTAAAAAATAAATGACCTAAATGAAGTATTTGAAGATCCTAGGAAGAAAGTTCTCTAGATCTGAAGATGTTGAAATTGTGGCAGTATTTAGGAAATTAAACCACACAGCACAGAATCATTTACCTTTTAAAAATAGGTAAGAAATGCTGGCAAAATTATTTACTTCAAACCTATTGGCCATCCATCCAATGGAATAAATGATGGCAGCGATGACCGTGTTTCAAACACTGTGTGTAATGCCAATTAAGTTAGCACACCACTGGCATTGGAAATACTGGGAGAACCTAGCTGAAAAATAATGATTTGGGGTTCCATCCTCAACCCACTTAATCAGACTCTCTGCACATCCTGTATCTTTTTCCTCATTTTAACTTGTGCCTCTGGTTCTTGTTTACACATAGGTTTGAGAATCAAAGCTCTAAGGCAAGCATGTCAAACTCGTGGCCTGCAGGCCGAATGTCTCCTTTATTTGGCCCATGTTAGCCTTTGAGTTTGACAGTCATTTACCTTTTAAAAATAGGTAAGAAATGTTGGCAAAATTATTTACTTCAAACCTATTGGCCATCTATCCAATGGAATAAATGATGGCAGCGATGACCATGTTTCAAACACTGTGTGTAATGCCAATTAAATTAGCACACCACTGGCATTGGAAATACTGGGAGAGCCTAGCTGAAAAATGATGATTTGGGGTTCCATCCTCAAGCCACTTAATCAGACTCTCTGCACATCCCTGTATCTTTCCCCTCATTTTTAACTTGTGCCTCAGGTTCTTGTTTACACGTAGATTTGAGAACCAAAGCTCTAAGGCAAGCATGTCAAACTCGTGGCCTACAGGCCACATGCCTCATTTGGCCCATATTAGCCTTTGAGTTTGACATGCTTGCTCTAAGGCATGGAAATAGAGGCTATTGCTCCAACAGCCCACAGTTTTGGGGGCCTTTCTGGGAGGAATAGATCTTTGAGTTCCAGGGAAGCAGCTAATTGGGGAGCAGTAAGGAGCAGCTGATTTCTCTGAGAGACAGCGATGCCTTCAGATATAGCGGTCATTTGCTCATAAAACAACCTGGGTGGGCTTGGTGCAGAGGCTAGGACTGCTTAACTCTAACGTCCTCCCACTCAAGTTATACTATGCGTACTTATTTTTTTAAAGCCCTGTTCCAGCATGCGTACTATG